TACATGTATAACTGTTTCTAAATTTGAGGAAAAAAGTCCTTATTCCCTGACAGAGCAAGAGTTGTCATTCCATCCTCATCTCTTCCCCTTAACAAGACTGGATATGCAGCTGCTTTATTCAAATGCTTGGTTTATTCTCCCTAACAATCTCCTCCTTCAATTCACTCTGCCTCATTCCCTTTGTCTCTTAATTTTCTTTTGACTTTTTGTTCTTTATGCTTCCTTTTTTTTCATTGGCAATTTCCACTATAAATCTCACATTGCTTCTTGCAGTTATTTCATTATTTTTAAACTATTGTTTCCCATATTATCTCTTAATAGATTCTTCTTTATTCCTTCCTTCTGTTTCCAAGATGTTCATTGCACTGTCTCACTCTGTCCTCTCTTAGCTTCATCTGATGGTAGCTGCATTTGAGCCCCAAGAGAACTCTCCTGGGAAGGTTCCCCTTTGGCAAATGCAAAGTGAGGGAAAATGGTTGCTATTAATTGAGATTTGACAGGGCTCAGCCTCACTGATGCTAACTGGGAATGGCAGGCAGTTTGGATTGAATAAAACTGCACATCTGGAGGCAAGTATAGGTCTTAATAAAAATCACCAAAGCCAATATAAGCTCTTTAGAGCTTAAGATTGGGCCCTAAATTTGACTATCAGATTTATGTCAAAACATCAACTTTGAAAACACTAAATTGTTTCCTAACAAATGTATACAGATTTAAACTTCAGAAAGAAGTTGACAAGAATTACTCACCGTTTTCAACAAAGCTAAGTACCCTGGCGATATGGATATTCTATTCTGGCAAAACTGCATTTTAACTGCTATGATAGTAATATGTAAAATTAAATTACAAGATCAATTAGACATTTTTTATCTAGTTGATTCCATCTTTAAAAAAAAAACAAGGAGCCCTCAATTAAATGAAACAAATCTAAATTGAGAAAAATGTTTCTACGATAAAATTAATTTTTTTCCAGTAATGTAATACTTCATTTTAACCTTAAAGCTAATTGGAATATTCACTTCTGGCAAAAGGACTAGCATGATTTGTTAGTCATAGTGGGCTTAAATTGCTTAATAATGAATTTCATACAATAAAAATACACTCAATACAATGTTAACTGAGTTAGCTAGGCTTACTTGGGCCTTTTATACAGTTATTCCTTTGGAACTGGCCCAGGTCAAGTAATTCAGATACTAGATAGAATTAAGCTCCTGCATTCCAATACAGCTGTTGTTACTATCTTTCACCTTCCAGTTATGAAAGAATTGCCTGGTAGAAACAAAAAATGGTTTTCTTCTAGTGGCCAGTTGATCAAAAACTGTGTTTATGTTCTGATATTATTTGGTTCTGGAGTGCTTCTCCATTCGTGAATATCATAAGAAGCACTATCCTTATCTTACTCACTGATCTCTCAAGTGAAGCTGTCTCCTGGGAAGAACTGACAGTAAGGGTGCAGTCCCTTCCACATGAATCCTCAAATCATCTGAAAAGCAATAACCCAGAAGTAAACAGGGATGTAAAGGAGGGGTATAGAATGCCTAGAGCTACCCCTGTGATAGCTGGGATATTTCAACAAATGAAGTTTTTTCAACTGCTGTAATAAAGCAGTTTTCCTTCCCTTAATGATTCAGAGTAGCATAAACAGGTTAGAGCAAGTGTTGAGAAACTCTTAATTACAGCATTGATTTAAGGCAAGCAGACCATACAGTCCAACATAAACAGACTGTAGAAAGTAACACGTAAGTGTTTAACAACCCTTTTCAACTGCCCTAATTTATCTTCCTTGGCTTTAGTCATGTCTTTTCACCCATAAAGCTATGCATATTTCATCATTTGAACAATCAGCCTGCACTTTTATTAAATACTGATATTTTCATGCTTCTGATTTCAGCTGTGTAATTTATATACAAGCATTAGTATTTACTCTTGCATACTTAGTATTATGAATAATTATCCATAATAAATATCCAGAATAATTCATGGGACAGTACAAGACAGAACACAAGTGCCAGCAAATGGAATTCTGAAAACTTTACCTGACCTACATTAATTGTCAAAATATTAATATGAGAGGAATGCTTGTCAGGCTGTGTATTGATGTGGAGGCTGGTCATATGTGGATAGTGGATAGTGGAAGTAAGGTAATTGAATTGCAGAACCACAGTGGACGGAATAGATGGAACGTTAAATAGTAAAATCTGCAACTTCAGTGTAGTAACTGCAACTCAGTAATGATAAAGTGGTAACTTGGAAACTGGAAACTATTCAAATAGCACAATGTTTTGCCTGTGTGCTGATTTTGATTTGGTTTACATTTTCATACTTGACCTATTTATGTTTGAGTTTCAGAATATTGTTAGGAATTGTATTATGGCAGGTTATTATTTTATATTTGCTTCAGCTAAGCAACATGACACAATCTCCTTTGTAATAGCTGTGTAATTTATAGCTGGTATGAGCTTATAATTAACTTCTTAGACTGAAAGTTTGGAAATACTAGTACTATTTCTTTGTCTAGCTATTGCTGTTCCAAATAGGTAGCTATTTGATCAGGGTTAATAAATGAAACTATTAAAAGATCTTATTTAGTTGCTTGGGTTCAGCTCAATCTGACATATTTATTTTCTTAGAGCTGGTGATTCAGATTGCAGCAGTTTTCCCTGGAAAGAGAGAGGGTTTGCGTACTTCTTTCCCTTTAGAGCCCTCTTCCTTTCAGGATAGGCAGCAGTGAAATGCCATCCATAGCTAAGACTTCAACCCCCAGGATTCCTTGGGAGAGCATGCGCTGAAAGCTTCCAGTTGTCAAAGTGCTCTTGCCAGAGTGGTCGACTATTTGTCATATACCAAACCTGAAAGAAGAAAATAAATATACTGTCATTTTGTTGATCTTTAAATACAGAAAATCCAAAGGTAAATGTTCCTTACAAATTTCTGTGTTGACTGCGTGGGTAACTGCATGCAAACGGAACTGCTATTGTTATGGGGATAGAGATTTCCTGTACCAGATTGTAAATTTGTACAAATACACCAGCAAATACTCAAGAGGGTACTGCATTAGTCCAACATTAGACATTGGCTGGCCTGTCTTTCAAAGTCATTTATTATCCAGGTTTTTTCCATTCAGATTGGCTTCATTCATTAAAGGTAGGTCTTGACCTTGACAAGAGGGTTGAATTGTGCAGTGATTTCACCTTTAAGAAGTAATGTGAAAATAATGTGGATTACAGTCCTTAGGATAAAGTTCAGAACCAGCTAGCTAAGTAAAGATACACGTTTGAAATGAGTGCTCTGCTAGCCACTATAGATAACCTGATGACTAACTGATTTAAATATACTTTTTTGACGACAGAATTTTAGCATTTCAGCTGCTATGTTTTTCTCGCTAAATATATTTTTATACTTGTATCTCAGAACCAGGGAAGGGATACATATAATCTTTTTATCTCTCTCGTATGTGGAATCATCAGTAATTTTATGTAGCCTTAGGAGTAATAGTGAATTTGATAGAAATGAAGCTAGCAGAAAGCTACATAGAGCTTGGTATATTCTGGCTTGCTGCAGTACTGCTTTAAACTGCCTTGTGAGGTTTTCTGCACGCCCAGCAGCAGTAGAGCTTCTTGTTACAGATGCAATAGTTTACTCAGTTCGGCTTAGGAACTTGCCTTCGTGTTGTTTCACCATGTAGTCTGTTCATGAACCCTTGCTGTTCAGTTTACATATTAAACAGGTAAATAAGAGGGAACAAACCTGACCTGACACTCATTTTAACTAAAAAGTGTGTGTACAGCTCAGGAGATTTAAAAGGAAAAAAAAAAAAAGAAACAAAAAATGTTAAAGGTACGCATGGACCATCTGAAATCTGCTGATGTCAGAAGGTTGTCAATTGCAGTCTTCGACAGTTTTCTGAAACAGTTAATTGTTTTGGCTTTACTTTGTAAAACAACAACCCTGAGAAAAGGCAGTCTTAGGAATGTACATGTCATATGATTAACTCAAATGCAATTAGGTATTCAGCAATTACTATCTTTGACATAATTGATTGAAGTGATTTTTATCTCATTTAAAATACTTCTGAGATTGAAAATTATCTCTTCAATTGACCAAAAGTTTGCCAAATGTGGAGGTTCCCATTCTACTTTATACAATTGCTTTTCATTGCTGTCCGTATATGCATTAGTACCATTGTGTTTGAAAAATCAAGTTATAAGATCTGTCCTATTTCATATGAAGCCCTTTTCTAGGAGATACAACTCAACCATTCTACATACATTTATTTTTTTAGAGTTTAAACTTGTGATGATTTAGCAAATAATTTGCATCAATTGTCTTTGTCTTGTGCATATAAAGATGGCTTTTAAAATGTGGCATGTCTGTATTTTTTTTCAATTTGCCCCATTTTTATTGTTCATTGTGAAGGCATCAGAAACAGCATAGTATGATAATACCTCCCAGATCTGTGCATTTGGATCTTAATTTTTTTTCCAATGAACAAATTAATAATGACTTAATATATGTAGAAATGCAGCGAGTAGAAATACCTTTAAGCAAAGGAGTGCTTTGATGTTTTACACGGGAAGATCGTAAGGTCGCTGAAGGCAAATGTAACACCCGTCGGCGGCTTTGTACATGAAGCGTCTCTCTGCCTGCGCGCCCCCCCCCCAATCGCTTCTCCTGCCCTAAGCAAACAGCGAGCTGTGCGGCAGAAATAGGCCGGGAAACGATTGTGCAGCTCAGAACCGCTCCAGCATCCCTGCGAGATTTCGTGTGTTCTTTCTCTCTGATAAATTTCAGCAACTGAAAGCTTGTTTGTTAATTAGGGAAAATCGGTACCCGGCTCCTTTAAAGGTCCCCTAATAGAAAAGGGGGTGGAGAAGAGTGAAGACTGGTGTCTTTTTAACCTTGCTGAAGGACGCAGCAGTATTTATTGACGTATGCAAATAACCAGGGGGAGGAGGTGGTGGAGGAGGAGGAGGGTGCTTGGAAAAACAGGAACCAGAATCAGTTTCTCATTGCAGGGTGAGAGCTCTGAGTTCCGGTGTAAGAGAAAAGAGACGTGGCGAAATTGCTGTATATCTCTGCCCTATAAGCACATCTCATTTAGACTGAAGGGAAACAAGGCATCAAAAAGGGTGAAGCATCTTAAAAAATATTTTAAAGGCTATCTAGCACGATCAAAGGTTACATATTCCTAAATGGGGGAGGGGGAAGATTACGGGTTTGCCTTGCTATTTGCTGTAGCATAGCACTAGCAATAGGACGAGATTTTTGGCTGGCAAATGATTAAAACAGCCGGGTTTGTGGTATGAATGACAACGTTAATAATCTGTCTTTGTGGTTTTTTCCCCTACTGTTTCAGCTGCGCAAACCATGCAGGATGATTTACTGATGGACAAAAGCAAAGCCCAGCCCCAGCAGCAGCGGCAGCAGCAGCAGCAAGATCCAAACTCAGCAGAAGCCCCCTCTACACCCATCTCGTCGGAGACACCGAAACCAGAAGACAACAGTTCAGTGACTAGTATCGGCACATCGGCTCCTTCACAAAATAGTAAGGAGAAGATGCAGATGGAGTCTCCCATTTTGCCTGGCTTAAGCTTTCACCAGCCTCAACAAGAACCTGCAGCCGGCACCTCCTTGTCTCCCTCCTTCGGCAGCACCTGGTCTACAGGGACCACAAACACGGTGGATGATAGCTTTTTCCAAGGGATTACTCCAGTCAATGGGACAATGCTTTTCCAGAATTTTCCACACCATGTCAACCCTGTATTTGGTGGCACTTTCTCGCCTCAAATTGGCCTAGCTCAGACTCAACACCACCAACATCAGCAGCAGCAGCAGCAAGCTCAGCAGCAGCAGCAGCGGAGGTCACCTGTAAGCCCTAATCAGGCACCTTTCGCCCAGAGAAATGCTGCTTACAGCCATCAGCCCATCATGACCAGCAAACCGTCTTCCTCCTCTGTCTCCTCTTCTTCTTCCTCCAGCTGGAATAACCATCAAAATGCGGCTTGGAGTACACCTTCCAATCCTTGGGGTGGGCTGCAGGCTGGTAGGGACCCTCGAAGGGCAGTTGGAGTGGGGGTCGGCGTGGGAGTGGGGGTCGGTGTACCCTCTCCCCTCAATCCCATTTCACCCCTTAAAAAACCATTCTCCAGCAATGTCATTGCCCCTCCGAAGTTCCCACGGGCTGCACCCTTAACCCCCAAATCCTGGATGGAAGACAACGCGTTCAGGACGGACAATGGCAACAATCTGTTGCCCTTTCAGGTAAATGACCACATGTACCTTCTACACGGTGACAGCTATTGCAAAGTTGTATTTTTTACAGGGGTATATTTTTCATGTTCTGAGAGGCATTTCCATAACTCATATTTGCATCGAATAGTCACCTTATATGAAAGAAGTGGGTTTGATCCTAGGGAGTGGATACACAAAGATTCCAAATGCTGGCTTAAGGTTTATAGTCTTATTTTTCTTGTAACTTAAATGTGACAGGGCTTTTGTTTTTTGGGTTTTTTTTGTTGCTTTTTTTTAGCATCTGAAAGGTAGTAGCCTTCCTTTGTGAAAAACAGGTTTGGCAGACTATGTTCTCTGGGTGCTCTGTGCTGTATCTTTTTTTCATATTCTCCCATAGGTGAGAAACAAGAGATATTAAAATTGCTAGCGTCGGTTTTCTAACTGACCTGTTAATTTTCACTAATGATGCTTCTTTACCTGAAATCCAGCTAGTTATTTTATCACCATTGAAAAAACTGGTTGTCCTTATGTTGTGGTGGGATTTAACCAGGAGTCTGGTCGCATAAGGTATACATATGAAAAGCTGTATATGTCTGATATGTACACCCTGCTGTTATATTCACAGTGGAGGTTTTGAATACATCTAGAAGCAGCGTGGGTGTGTATGGAAAGAGTGGCGTATCTGTCCTTTCCAGTAAGGAAATGCCTAATACAATTGACGTGATTTAGAAATGGCAGGGAGGTATTGTATAAAATAAAGCATTTTATGCTGTTCAAAATATTTGCAGAGAAAAGAGACAATAGGACACGACCTTCAGAGCCATATTGCAATGGAGTCTATTTACTAGCTACATAGCTCTGAAATATTTAAAGCTGCAGTGCCCTTTGCTGTTTTTTTTTTTTATCTATGACGACAAAGCAGATCAATTGCAGCTGAAACTGGGCCACATAGAAGATTTGCAATTTTAATGCAGAATGAAACCTGTCATGGTGTGAAATCCATTTTAAGTTGAAATGAACAGAGCATGCATTGGAGTTCTATCTATACAAGGTGAAGGGAGTATCAAATTTCTTCTAGGTTAGTATTTTTAGTCTCAGGCAAATCAAAATTTTCTGTTTTGAAATACAGTGAAATAATTTCTGTATGCTTTAGGTAACCAGTTTCTCAAGGAAGTATGAACTCTCAAACATTTTGAACTTACCAGTGTGCTGAGAATAGCATCTAGGTAGACACTTAGCTTTAGAAACAAAGAAAAAAAATGATCAAACACCACCAGCCCCCTTACTCTATGAGACTGTTGAAGTAAAATATATGCATTCCTGTGCACTTTCCAGTCCCATTCAAAGAGGGCACCTTATAGTCAGCCCTGAAATTTCATTTTGCTGCTTCATTCTGGTTAAAGGGAGAGTTGCTAATTTTTTATTGGCTACCCTAAATGAAGGCGGAGTGGCTTCTGGTGAACTGCTGGTCAATGTCTCTGAAGCACTGGAGTCTGGAGAAAGATTATACTTTAGACACAATATGCCTAGTGAAGCTGCTCTGCTGCACAGCTATACAAAAGCTAATTAGTATAGCTCCCAGTCATTTTTTTTAAGAGTGGAAAATGTGTTTCAATTTACAATTATTCTTTTACTTAAATTGCCTACATGTAAGACATTACAAATTCTGATAGAATTGAATTAGTAGGGAAAACAACAGTAAATGGTCTTATTTCTGTGATTTGCTTGGTGAGATGCATCTTTAACAAATACACAACTTTATTATTGTGACTGTAAATTGTCACAAATTCAACTAGCATATACTTAGTCATCACTAGGGAAAAAAATAGATGTTTTCAAAGAAAAGCTTGTTTGATTTTAAAACTGAGGGTTTGAAAGGTAAGGTATTAGCCAACATGTACATCCAGAAATTTGTTTTCTTCTCTGTGAATTTAACCTGGTGTTTTCATGTTCAACTGAAAACAAATACTTAGGCTACTTTCAGCACCAGCTGGAATAACAGTTTGCTTTCAGACACTCTGAAAATTTGTAATTTTTTTCCTATTAGTCTGTTTTTAATGCAAGCTGCCAAATTTTGCATACAAGATTGTAATATGGTGATGTTTGTTGCTCCTAAACTTAACAAATTGCCAAAGGAGTCTTGAAATTATACTATCAATAGGAGGGAATAGTTTAGTTACATTGATAAGAATGAAATTAAGATTCATGTAAGGCTTTAGTGCTGCCTGGGTTCTGGCTGCCTTTTTTTAATTTCTTTTTAAATCCCTCCTTTCCCTCCTTCCCCTCCTCCCCCTCTCCCTTCCCCTCAGAAATTGGGCAATATGTTGACACAGTAAGTTCTGCTTGTCAGCATTATCAAGTAGTTCTGGCAGGTTTATCCATGTACATCTGCCACCCTTCATATCTGAGTGTTTCTGATCTGTTTCAGAAATACCTCTCAATAAACTGGCTAGCAAGTTAATGCACATTAGCAAATTCTTTGTGCTAACCCATACTTTTTATGTTGAGATTATAGGACTTACAAAAAATTACGGTTTATATTAATTTCTTAAGAAGATAGGAAGCTCAAGATGTTGTAAGTAAAAAGAAGATATTAGTATGTTCACTGGTTGAATTAACATCAGTGATACTTATTTTTTAATTTAGGTCTTTGCAGTAATAAAAAATGTTGAGCAGAAAAATTGTATAATCAAATTTTGTCTTCTGAGTAGGTAATACTTGAAGACAGCTGATACTCACCTACTGATAGATCTAGTTCTAGGAAAGAATGTTGAATTGGAAAATGTTTCATGTAAGAACATGTACATAAAGCAGTATGTTGGATGTCTTCTTCCCTGAATTTGAGTAATACATTAGTGTACCTTGCATGTTAAACCCAGTCGGCGGCTCTCCCGAGGAGTTGTGCTGCAGAACATATCAGAAGATTTAAAATATAAATTGATGGAAATTCTTTTGTCATCTGCCATGTGATTGGTGTTGAAAGGCAACTAAAAATGCTTTGAAGGTTACAGTTTTCATATACTTAGGTAAATAGCACTAAATGAAGATACAAAGCTGATAGTTGAAAGGGAAGAGAAAAGAAGCAATCAGTCTGGAATGAAATGTAATGTAGCAAATAAGAGTTGGAGAAGAAGATCACAGGAATAGATGTGGAGCAAGGCCAGATATGAAATATAGAAACATGGCCAGTTTGTTGTTCTTAACATTATTTGTCTTCTGAGTGGTTCAGGTGAAGGTCCTCTGCTGTGATTGTCGTGTGATAAGCAGTAGTGCTGTGCCGTTATGCTAGGTGATCCTCATTTCTGGCATTTGAGGCTGAATGGAATGACCTGATTGTCCCTGGGACCTAGGCAATGGTTAAGCTCTTTTTTTACAGCAGTGATGGGGCTTGAAGAGAGCTATTATCATCTTGTACTTCTGAGCTGCTCCCAGAATTCTCTTTTCCCTTCACTTGTCTCAGGTAAATAGTGTGCTTCTTTTGGCTTTTGGCCATGTGAAGATGTTGGGACACAGCTTGTGGGGTTAGGAGGATTGATAGTGCCTGAAATAGGCCCTTGGAAGCATGGATGAGAAATTCTCTTAATGGTGAAGAAGATAAAAAGGAATTATGTTTGGATATCAGTTTGCTAATTAAGAAAGCTTACCCTGTGGATTTTTAATACTAAAACCACTATAACAATTTCCCAGAAATTGTTCCAAGTTTTGCTGCTTTCTGAGTAATGTTCTTTAGAAGCAGGAAAAAAAAATGCACAATTGTAAGTTTTTGATTAAGAAAATGAATAGCAGTTTGGTCCTCTGAAGATTCTGGCATACATCAAGTCATTCTTGGCAGCTTTACTGATAATTCTTTAGCAGAAATAAATAAGGTGGTATTTATTACAGATCAAGATAGTTTTAACTATCTTTATCCATGGTTTTAACATGCTGTCATTTGCAGGGAGGTGTTTGGTTTTTTCCCCATTTATTTCGATAGGAATTAGTCCGGACCCAGATAAAATTATAAGCTAAATTTAGAAATTATATGTAACTTCAGTATCTCATACATAAACAAAATGCAGACCCAAACAGGCAGTGTGTTTGCATATAAGTATATATGTATAAATACGTGTTTGTATGAATATATGTTTATGCACTTAGCTACAGTTACAAATTAGCAGGCACAAAGTGCTTTGTGTTGCACTAAGCACACTGTTGTTTGTTGAGTGAAATGAAGCGCAAGGGAATGGCCACTGTATAATGTTTATAATTCCAGTGTGACTTTTGGTTGATGATTAACAGACAGCTCCTTAAGAAGCTGCTTTCTTTAAAACTTTGAAGTTCTTCAAGCCTGTGATACTAGTCCATACTTAGCTTGCTCAATGCTAATACAGACTGATACTCAAATTATGTGCATACGCACACATACTACGAATATACACATTTCTTCATAGGCAATGAATTAATTGGCTGTAGCTTATTTGTCATAGTTCTGTTTCTTAACACTGCAGTAACCTGAAATGCATAGTAGGATCTCTCATATATGTATGTGTGTGTTTATTGAAAAATGATGACTGAATTAGAATGACTTCAAGTACTGGAACATTCACGAGCTTAACATACGGGATTAGATTTATGAGTAAAGGAGTTTTACTGGCTAATACACTCTGGTGACTGTCATTTTAAAACCTATGTTTAATTTTAGATTTTTATTTTTTCTTCAACCAGACATAGTTGTATGCAATATTTGAAGCTTTGTTTGTTTGTTTGTTTTTGTTGTTTTGTTTTTTTTTTTTTTTTTTAAATACTGCATTTTCTTAGTCTAAATTTGACATT